TTTACAACCTAACCCAAGCAAATGGCTATATTATTCTGTACAGATTGATAATATTAGATTGTAAGAAACTTTAAAAGGTAATTTTGTATTTGTTTGCAAATTAAACAACTGTAAACAGTTTTGTTTTAGTTTCTTACTAAAGTGATCTGTTTAAACCAGAGATTTTCCTGCTATTATGTTACTGTGTGGCAGATGTGTACACAAAGTAAACCCCGGTTATATTCTTTATATCATTTTAGTTATCCAGGGTTTATTGAATATTTAACTTTTAATGATGAGCTATTTTTATTAACAAAACCTTTTTAACAATTTAGTTTTTGCCATTTATTTTGTGTAGCTATTCATAAAATGACCCATTCAGACACTCACATCCTGGGATCAACCTACCCCTGACTGAAATAATTCCAGTGGGCTCTCATGAAGTCCCAGGCCAGCGCTTGTCCCTCTGCGTTTTGCGCTATGTCAATAAGGATGGAGGTGGCTTCCATCAGACGTATCTTGTCAGGGTCCAAAGTGTAATCCAAGTATCTGTAAGATAATTCAATACAATTCAATTCAGTTTATTTATATAGCGCAGAATTCACAATGTCATCTCTAGGCAATTTACAGTTCAACCAGATCATACAGTGAAATTGATACAAAGTTTTCTATGAAAGGAAACCAGCTGATTGCATTGACTAATTGACTCAAATACAATCCCTCACACTAGAGGAAAAACTCCCTTTTAACAGGAAGAAACCTCCAGCAGAACCAGGCTCAGTGTGAGCGGCCATCTGCTGAGGCCGACTGGGGTTCTAAGAAGACAGAAGCAGACATAGAAAATGAAGCATAGATACAAAAAGATAAGGAAGGTCCTGACTCAATGTACGCTTCACAGTAACTGGTATGACTAGGATTCACTGGAATACGAGCGGATCTGTTATGAGAGTAGCTCTGAATTGACATCACCTGCTGAGAAGCCAGGTCTGCTTGGTGCAGGAAAGAGCTCTTCTCAGCTGCTCTCTCTCTGAGCTGTCAAAGGAATCCTGAAACTTCTCAAAGGCAAACTCCCACTCTTTCTGCTCACCGGCAGCCACAGCTTGGCAGTAGATAGTGGAGCGCAGATTTGGGTGGATGCTGAATAATAAAGGCAGAAAAACACTTTAGTTCTCTGATTGAAAAACCCTTGTTTAAGTAGAACTATTTACTTTATCAGTCTTAGTAATTACTCTCAAAAAACCTCCTCCACAGACATGCAGGACATTTTATTATACTGATACTGTTATGAAGAATGTTTAAAATACTTAAAGCCAAGGTAAGCCTACGGTAATATATTTTGTCATGGCGTTGTCCTTTTTTCTTTAAGTTAGACTTTTTTTTTGAGGATTTTGAGATAAAGCCACCTGCCTGAAACCAGGCCAATCTGCCACCCGACTGTGTGTTTACTGTCAAGCTCTTCTTTTAAAAATTAAATGCATCTACAAAACTCTCAGGTTTGCTTAACGGTGTAGAATACCCATTAAATCTTTAAAAACACTATTCCAGTTATGTTTTTATGTAAAAGCAGGTACCCTGCTGCAACTCAGCTCCCAACTGAGCGTCTGCATAGTTTAGATTAATAAATAATGTGATTATTCTGTCAGTGCGTTGGCATTTTTGCCCATTCCCCAGAACTTCTCACTGTGGCAAAAAACGTCAGATGGCAGCTTAAATTAACAGGTGATCAAACTCAGCGTAGTGCGAAATGGAAATCTTTTGTGGTTTAAAACTTAATATTTTTAATCAGACCAAAAGTAAATAAAACTAACAGCACGTTAAAATAAAGAGAAACATCAGCAAGAAAGCAGCCATAGCAAAGCTAAGGGTCAGGTATTCTTTTGTGTGCTGCTATAGGCTTAGACTGCTGGAGGACATAAAGACCCATGTTTACTCATTCTGCTTCATTCTATCTCTATTCTCCCACTCTGCAGAATTTGTTAGTTCACTCTCTAATGCTATGCTCTGTCTGCTTTTTCTCAAAGAAGCTTCATCTGGTCTGTTCCTGTTTGGCTGTGAC